TCTCATTTAACAGTTAGTACACATGTTGCCCTATGACAATGGTTAACAACCTCACAACACATCAACACTATCCTTACTCAACCTTGGGTTCCGTAGGGAACTTTTTATTTGCCCCATGAGTCAGAATCACCTCGACAGCAACTAACAATAGCGGCAACATTCATTGATTTAACTAAGCTTTAAAATTGTATAAACTTGCCTAAGTACTGGAGATATGTAGATTAATGGAATATAGTGTCTGTACTTTAGAGATCATACCCTAAAATGGGAGACTGAATTTTTTTTTTTTTTTTCTTAAATTGCGGTGAAAATATACACAAAAAACATTTGCCAATTCAACAGTTTCTCCACGCGTAATTCAATGACATTGACTCTTCATTTTGTATAACCCCCGTAACCATCTTTTTCTTAATTATTTTACCACCATAAACATAAACTCAATGCCCCTAAGCAAAAATTCCCTCTTTTCCCTTCCCTTCCACCTTTGGTAACCACTAATAATCTTTGGTTTCTCTATGTTATTTCATATAAGTGAGATCATACAGTATTTGTCCTTTTGTTGCTGACTTATTTTGCTGAGCATAGTGTTTTCAAGGTTCATCCATATTGTGACGTGTATCAGGACTTTATTTCTTTCTATGGCTGAGTAATATTGCAGTGTATGTGTATACCACATCTTGTTTATCCATTCTTCTGTTGGTGGACAGTCTGATTGTTTCCACTTTTTGGCTATTGTGAAAAGTGCTGCAGTGAACATTGGTGTACAGGTTTCTGTTTGTGTTCCTGTTTTCTCTTCTTTTGAGTATATACGTAGGATTGAGGTTGCTAGGTCATATGGTAGTTCTATGTTCAACATTTTGAGGAACCATCAAACTGTTTTGCACAGTGGCTGTACCATTTTGCATTCCCACCCAGCAATGGAGGAGGGTTCTAGTTTGGGAGACTGGATTTTTAACACTTTCAACATGTGATAAATGTTGGAGATGGAGTCCACATATTCACCAGCTGCTACTGAAACAGAGCAGGTGGCACACTTGGTATTAGTTGGGATGTTCATGAAGGATGTGAATTTGTGAATTGAATTTTGAAGGGTGAGTAAGAGCCACATGGACAAAGGCCTAGGCAAATAACCTGGCATTGGTTATATTCACCGAAATATGTGTGAACAGGAGAAACAAGGTGAACAGGAGAGCTGTTGATAGGCTGTATGTTGTACTAAGATTGTGAAGATAGATTCCAGGTGAGTGTACTTAATGCTAATCCCTAGCAAAATTCTACAACAGATTATTTAAAAGATGGTTTTTAAGTACTTTGAAAGAAAACAGTGGTCATAAGGAGCTAATTTAATTTCAGTCAGAACAGTCACTCAAAGCTAATCTAATATTTATAGCATTTTTAAAATTTTTATAAAAGCATTATGTGTTTATGGTACAATATTTGGAAATCACAAGAAAGTTTAAAGTTTTAAAAGAATATAATAATCAGTTATGAGTATCCACAGATAACTGCTAATAGTTTAATGCATATCTTTTTAGTTTTATCTCTTCATAGATTATACATACTTGAATTTTATTTGTTTTTTCAAACATAATTGGGATCATACTGTAAATATGATTTTGGAGCTTGCTTTTTCACTTAATATGTTGTGACTACTTTATTAAAACCTTAAAGTATTATTTGAGAGTAAGATTTTTAGTGATTGCATAGTAGTTCAATATGCATATTAATTTAACCTCTCCTGTTACTGGACACATAGCTTGTTTCTAGTTTTAAAATAACATTGCTTTTATAAACATCTTGTACCTAAGTCATTGTAGAAATCTGTTTTTTATTCTTATGAAATTAAATGAATGGGTCAGAGGATATGGCCCTTTTTTACTATATTCTGGTACTGCTTTCTAAAAGGTGGTGCCAATTCATACTCCCGCTAGTGGTGTATGAGAATGACAGTTTTCCCACTTCTTCATCCTTACCAGAGCATCATGGGAAACAACAACAAATGCAACAGCAAACCTCTGCCAATTTGACAGGTGAACAGTGGTATCCAGTTCCTATCAACAGTGATGAAATAAATAATTTTTCATGTGTTTATTGGGCACCTGTATTTTGTGAATTTCCTGTTTCTTCTTTGTCTGTTTTTTAGAAAATTAGAGTTTTGGTCTTTTTTTTTTAATTGATTTATTTGGTATTTATATAATAAGAACATATCTGTTTTATATGTTGTAGTTTTCCTGTTTTATCATTCGCCTTTTTATTTTGTTTATAATAGCTTTTCATATTTAAAAGTTTCAATTTTTATGCAGTCACATCTATTAATTTTCTTTAATAGCACTATCTTTTGCTTTTATGGTTGCCCAAAAGCCTAAACAAGGGAGATTTTTGCCCCATTGCCCTCTGCAGTTGTCAAAACATATCTTCATTATTGAAGTCATTTTTATTACAGCAAGGCCATCACCACCACCAATAATAATGGCAAAATAGTTAAAACCTCATCAGCAGTCACAGCACAATTTACTGAGCATTTACCATGTATCAGGCACTATGCTAAGCTTTTATGAATTATCTCATTGAGTCCTCACAGCAATCCTTTGAATCCCATTTTTACAAATGAGGAAATTGAGGCTCAGAGAGAGTTAAGTAACTTGCCAAAGGCTACGCAAATATTAACTGGCAGAGCTGGGAATGTAGATATCAATTAGTCTTGCTTGAAAGCCTGTGCTTTAAGTGCTTAGTAAGAAATCTCAAAACTAGCTTATGTGAGGAATGGTAGTAGGATCTTGGGAGAAGAGAAGAGAAAGTAGAGGGTAATTATGATCTGGGTTTGAAGTCCAGTTTTGCCACTTACTAGCTTGTGACAGTGACATTACTTAAATTCTCTTAGTTATAGTTTGTTCTTCAGTAGTATGGAGCCTTTTCTTTGCAGGGCTGTTGTGAGGATTGAGTGAGATAATGTAAGTAAAGCACAAAACACAGTGCCTTCCAGATGGTTGCCACCCTGTAACTAGGAAGTTATTACACCAGCCATCTTTGAAAGTCTGTCATGTGAAAGGGTTTCAGTTGCATCAGAGGTGAGAACTAGGATCAACGGAAAGAAGTTACAGGAAGGTAGATATTGGTCTGGTAAAACTAAGAATTTTCTAGCACTGTCCAGAAATGCAGTAGATTGCCTTGTAAGATGAGTTCCCTGTCAGTGAGACTCTTCAGGAAGGAATTGAGTAGGTGATCATTTATCAGGGATACTGTGGAGAAATTTCCAGATTTGTCTGAGAGTTTAGACGATGTGGAGACTGGTTTTATATCTTAAAGATTCTATGATTCTATGTACATCTTAATGATTTCTTTTGGTTGGATTTAAGAAAACCTATCATTGTTACTACCTACAGCAAGAAAGATTTCATAAGGAGCCCAAAGTCTTTGGTTAGTGATAGGATAGGCATGACAGGCAGCCAGCCTGTGCTTTCACTCTGAACGTACAAGGAGAGATCAAGAAGATGTAGCTTTTAGCTTACAAGTGGCAGTTGTGTACCTGGAAGGCTAATTAAAAAGGTTTGTAATGAAAGAAATTAACCTTTGGAAGGAAATAGATTAGTCAGAGAAATCTCTATAAGTAAGCCAGTCCAGTAACCATCAGATGTTTATGGAGCAAACGTCACTGCATGTTTCTTCATGAGCATTTGCGTATGTGTGCGCCATGTATTTTAGGAATGGGAATGGTCATAACTTTGGGTTCTTGAGACAGTAGTGCTCCTTGGCTGGATCCTGTGTATTTTCTCAAAATAATGTCCTGACTTCCACAGGTGGCTGAGTTTGTGGATGAGCGGCCGCAAGAGGTAAAGCAGATGGAAGCCTTTCGTTCCAGTGACAAATGGAAGCTTCTGGGAGGTGAGTTCCAACAATAGGATAAATCTAAATTTCCCAGTTATGGGGGAGACCTTTTTTTCTTTTTTACACTTCTCTCTTAGGGAAATATGCGGTTTGTTTTAGTGTGTTATTGTGCATAAAAATATTTTGAGAAAAAGAATTTAAGACTTCCTTAGGGGTAGTAAGACATGGGAACTGAGAGACTGGGTATCTGTTTAATATTTTGGCATTAGAGTTACTGAGGCCAGGAAGGGAATTGTTTCGGGGCCTTTCATCACCTGATCCTCTCTGGCCCCAAATAGTAGAGTACTTGGTATATAGGCAGGACTTCGGGAGGGGTTTGCACAAATCAGAAGAACAGAGCTTGTAGACTTCAGCAACCTCTCTCCTCTCCTAGAATGAAGACACTTGTGTGTGGGTCAGCTAATAGTGTTCTCTATCCTTTTTATTTGTATTAATAAATCTTTCTCTCTTCTCCTCTTAAATGTTGGATTTTACAGTGTACCACCCCCACTTGCCTACTCTCCACCTTGTCCTTAGGCTAATAATTTAAGCCTCCTCCTTTTTTTTTCCTTGGAATCATTAAGAATTGGATAAAAGGCATTTGTTTGCCACATCTGCCTCCTCTACTGGGTTGTAATTTTGAGGCATAGACCTAGTCTTACTTGCCTTGGTATTTCCTCTGCCTAGCACAAAGAGGTACCTTTAATAAATACTTGCTGCATGATTGAATTGCTAATAGACATTTGATTCTTGCAGCCCATTCCTCTTTGGTAAATCATCACTTGAGGCTTTTGCAAGAACTTAGTAGGTAGATCTACCTACTATGGGACCTGAACTAGAAAATGCTTAGTCCCAGTGAATCACAGCCCTGGTCCCAGCATCATTCAGGCTCTGTGTGGCCAGTGGAAGCTTACTGGTGTTTTACCACCTGTATTTATTCCTTTAAGGTCCCTGGGTGGCACAAACAGTTTGTGCTCTACTACTAACCTAAAGGTTGATGGTTTGAACCTACCCAGAGGCACCATGGAAAAAAGCCCTGGTGATCTACTTCCGTAAAAAGGTTGCAGCCAAGAGCTCGGTTCTACTCTGTCACACTGGGGTTACCATGAGTTGGAATCGTCTTGATGGCAACGAGTTTGGTATTTTGCTTTATTTATTTCTTTATACACAAGGATCTTGCTTCTTGATAGTTGATTAGCTCCATTTTACCCTTGATGCTTATTCACACATGGAGGGTGAAAGAATTATCTCCTAAACAGGATTTCTCTTTCTGTATAGTACTGTGTGCCATTCGGTTAATTATTATACAATTCTGATCAGAAAAAAATGCATAACAAAAGTGACAATTGGTTATACATTAGTGATCACCATTGCTCAGTTAATTTTCAGTAAATTATTATTTAACTTTATGAATGAAAACTTCATTATCAGAAGTCTTTTATCAGAATCTTTTTTACTCTAATCCATTATGTCCTACCTTATTGTGTAGCTGTATTTACGGTTTTTCCATAATCACTATTCCGGAAGGAATCTTTTGGTCTCTACACATCTATAGGTCTGGGAAGTGATAGGCACACAAGCACGTACACATTTATATACAAACATATACATACACTACATGCACACACATATATAGTCCTTTTTCTCTGCCACACTCTCACTGCCCTATCCTCATTTGTGACTGGAAGTACTCCACTGATCTCTGACTTGTACTTCCTTTTTTATAAATATCATGGAATTTATCAACCTCGTGATAAATTAGGTTTATTGTCAGTTCTCCCACAGATGTCAGTATTTTTCTCTGTAGAGTGGATTCCAACCAGATAGGCCTATTTTCCAAAGTAAAGGAGTTGACTTGGTTTATTCATTTATTCTTTGGGTACTATCCAACTTTTTTTTTTTTTTAATTTGGGCCATAGGGTTCAATGGCAAGAATTAACTGGATTTTGGAAATGTCCCAGGCTGCTGTAAACACTTTATTCTATTATGCCTTTAAAAACGGAAAGTCTAAAAATCTTTCCTTATATAGACATTTTTTAGGGTTGCACATGGACTCTGGAGTCAAACAGATCTGGATTGGGATATTCACCACTTATTAGCAGTGTGACTTTGGCAAATTACTAAATCTTTCTGAGTATCTGCTTCCTCATATATAAAATGAGGATAATAATACTTATCTCCTAGACTTGTTGTGAAGTTTAAATGAGATAATCTATATAAAGCACTGGGTATGTAGTAGGTGATCAATAAATGCTTGATCTTTTTTTTCCTTCTGGTGATTTTTTTCCCCCTTTAAGAAGAATTACAATGACATGGATTAAATAGTTAACAACATTGTGCTTTGATGTGGCACAGGTTTATTCAGTTTGCCTTTTGAAGAAGAGTGTGAACTGTAAATTATCCAGGCTAAGTATCAGTAGGAGCCTGTGATCTGAAACTCTCTGAATAAATAAGATTTTGAAAAGAATATTGGATTGGGAGTTAGAAGACTTGGGTTCTAACCTGTCTCTTCATCTTAGTAGCTGGGTGACCTTAGGTAAGAACTCCCTCAGCTCCTCAGAGACTCTTTATTTTCCTGTCTGTAAAACAGATACCTACCCTGCTTACCTTACAGGGCATAAGATAAAAAATGTATTTAAAATGCTTTGCAAATTTATACCCTGGTAGGCAAATAAAAGGGATTATTAAGATAGTCATGAGTGCTGGTTTGCTGCCCCTAAGCAAAAGACCTATGCAGACCTTTTGGGCTTTCTGAGTAGTTTGGAGATGTATGCTCTTTTGAAACCTTGGGTGCCAGGGGTACACAGAGAATTTGTGGGAATCTGACTCTTTGCTATTTGTGTTTAGGCCACAGTGAAGACCTAGCCTCACATAGGCATTTCCGTCATGATACCTCGGATTCATCTCCTCCCAGGAGGGTCCGTCATGATACCCCTGATTCATCTCCTCCCAGGAGGGTCCGTCATGATACCCCGGATTCATCTCCTCCTAGGAGGGTCCGTCATGATTCCCCAGATCCATCTCCTCCTAGGAGGATCCGTCATGATTCCCCAGATCCATCTACCCCCAGGAGGGTCCGTCATGACTCCTCAGACATTTCACCACCCAGGAGGACCCGTCATGATTTCCCGGATCCTTCTCCACCCAGGAAGCCTCCTCGTAATTCTTCAGATGTGTCTCCTAGGAAAGCTCGTCATGACTCACCAGATCCATCTCCTCCTAGGAGGGCCCGTCACGATTCCTCAGATATATCTCCCCCCAGAAGGGCTCGTCATGATTCCCCCAATTTGTCTGCTAATGCACCTCATTCACTGCCCAGAACCAAAAGCAGTAAAGCCCCAGAAAGAGGCTCTAGCAGGTCTTCTCCACATAGGAAGGGGCCAGGACCTTCTCATTCATCACTCCCAAAGAACAGCAAACGTGAGTATGCCTCAGACCTCTCTCCGCCACGAAAAAAGCCAGCAAAATCCCATTTTAGAAATAAGCAGCATGATTCTAAAGGTGAGTATGACTTATTCCCTAAGAGCTTTTGTTTTGGAACTTTTACCTGCTTTATTAGGTATTTATCATCTCTAGAAATGAGAATGGAGTTTCTTTGGAGAAGTTTTGAAAATTGTAGCGAAAGGGTGAGAGACTGGGCTTGGGAATAAAAATTACAGTGTAATTAAAAAATTACAGTGGCAGGGAGGAAATTTTTATATATCCTTTTATTTATTCTCCCCACCCCATAAAAAATTGCTCCGTGCTTGTTGCAGAAATTTTAGAATGTACAGAAATGTATGAAGAAGCAGAAAACAGTCATTCACAGGCAATCACTGTTAGTGGTGTAGCCGATGTCCTTTTAGTCTTTTCTTTCTATTCATTTTGTAGTGGAGTCCTGAATACGGAGTAAATACATAATGCATGTGTAATCTTGCCTGGTTTTTTCGTTTAACTTTATCTTTCCCATGTCATAAAAAAAACTCTTTGTTAATATAATTTTTAATTATGTATGTTCCATTACATACATTTACTTAACCATTTCCCTAATGTTGCATGTAAGTTTTTGCTTTTATAACGCTATAATGAACATCCTCGTATATAGACTGTTGTCCCCATTTTGGCTTATCTACTTCTAGAATGATTTCCTGGAAATTTAAGTACTTCTAGATAGGTTTCATAGACAGCTAAGTGGAAGTTGATTTGCTGAATCAGAGTTTTTAAGTATGAACACTTTCAGTATTGTTGATACGTGTTGCTAGATTGCTTCTTGGGAGGTAGTTTGTGATGTTTATATCTAGAAGTTTGTTTACTCCATCTTTTGTCTCTAGGTACTATTTTAATTTTTAAATTAAAATGCATTGTTATCCTTTAGTCTGCAGGCATCAGAATGTATTCTTGGTATTTCTAACTTGTATCATACCATTGAGAGCTGAGTGTAAATTATTTTGCCCCTTTTATGGGTGAGTAAATATGACATGGATGAGTATGTTGAGATCTCACCTACTACTCACTGTCGCTAGTCACTTGGTTTTTAAAAGTTGTGTCTGACTTTTCTCTTCTCCCACATACTTGTGTTTGGGTTGGTGATAGTTTTTCACAGGAAGACTAAGTGGATATTGAACACTAGCTTGGTAATTTTTTTTTTTTTTTAGATTCCACCAAAGGGATTAAAGAATTTACTCTTCCATTTCTAGGCTCTTCCCCCAGCCATAGGAAATTCCATTTAAGTTCTTCACCTAGGAGACATCAGGGTCACACCTTGGACTCTTCTTCCTACCCAAGTAACAGCTGGAAAGCCTCTGATTCAGATCTTTCTCCTCCACGGCATAAACATAAACAAAGTCCAGGGCACCAGGATTCTGGTTCGGATCTGTCGCCTCCACGGAATAGACCTAGACATCGGAGCTCTGATTCTGACCTCTCTCCACCAAGAAGGAAACAGAGGACTAAATCTTCTGATTCAGATCTGTCTCCACCTCGAAGGAGTCAGCCTTCTGGAAAGAAGGTGGGGATTTTCAGGAGCTGTATCCTTCTTGTAGAGTGACTCTCCTCCAGCTCTGTACAAGTTCCATAGATACAGGCTAGAGGAGGCGGAGGTAGCTCTTGGTAGTGTGGTGGTATAGTAGATCTAGTTAAAAGGACGTCCAGAGTTCTTTCCTTCTTTCTGAAGCCAGAACTGGCTGTAACCCAGCGCAAGTAGACTTGCAAATGCCAGATACTGTATGTAGCTTCTGCCTTTATATACATTTAGTTCCACAAATCTTAAGTTTGATAAATCCAGAAAAACTTCTTTTCTTATGAATAAACTGATGACTGTAGTTTGCAAAGTGAGATTAGGAACACAGACTTTGTGTGAAATTGGTCAGAAATTCAAATCCTAATTCTACCACTTACAATCTGTGTGATTTGGACAACATATACAATATCTGTAAGCCTCACCTGCTTCATCTGTAAAATATGGATAATAGTAGTACCTGCTTCATAAGGTTATTGTGAGAATTAACTGAGTTGGTGTAAGTAAAATTCTTAGCAAAGTGCCTGGGACAATGTAAGCAGTTAGTCAGTATTATCAATTTATTATTATTATGAGATTATTACTGCTGAATTAGACTGGAGGTCTCTGTATCCAGAACTTAAAGAGAGATGCTAACAATATAAAACTGTCTTTAGGAATCCTGTCTTCTGGGAAGTTAGCATTTTGTTTGTTTTTGTTTTAAATCTGTGGTAAAACCTCCGTTAGCATGGGAAAAAAAAAAACAAAAAAAAACACATGAATCCTGGGTAATTGTGTTGCAATAACTCTAGTACTACTAAAGGAATCTTATTCCAGTGAGTGGGCTAAGAAACAGAATGATACAGCCTGTGGTGTGAATGTTTCCCTCCTCGGTGAACTTCTTAGATACAGTCTCCTCTGTACCCCAAGTGGGCCTGGCAGGACAGACCAGCCTATCCCTAGCCCACAAAGAGGGATTCTTCTCTTTTGGGGAACAGAGTGAGGTCTCTGTTTCAAGTGTACCCCTCGACATTTTATGTATTTGTGTAGTTCATGGGAAATTTAATATTAATCAAATTTAGTGCATTGTTTAAGGGTATCAGGATGTGCTGTATGTTCCATTTGTGGGTCAGTTTGCTGTCTTGATATAAAGTGGAGATTAGTAAAAAGTTTTCATTTAGTCATATCTTCTGTTATTATCCTGAAAGAGATCCACAGTTTTAAAGATCTTAGGTTGGCTTGAATTTCTTGTTTTTAAATGGATTTTTTTATCAGTGTGGGTCTGTATTGGAGGGTGTAAAGCTTGATGCAGGTTTCTGATCAGGTGACATGAGAGTGAATCTTTATGTGTGCAGCTTCTGTGCTGAAAGTCAGATGTACAGATGCTTAGCACCCCTTTTTTTTGTATTTTTATTCATTTTTTATTGTACTTTAGATGAGGGTTTACAGAACAAACTAGTTTGTCAGTATATAGTACACATATTGTTTTAGGATATTGGTTAACAACCCCACGACACGTCAACACCGTCCCTTCTCGACCTTGGGTTCCCTATTACCAGCTTTCCTGTTCCGTTCTGCCTTCTAGTCCTTGTCCTTGGGCTGTTGTGCCCCTTTAGCCTTGTTTTGTTCTATGGGGCTGTCTAATCTTTGGCTGAAGGGTGAAGTTTGGGAGTGACTTCGTTACTGAGCTAAAAGGGTGTCCGGGGGCCATACTCTCAGGGTTTCTCCAGTCTCTGTCAGGTCAGTAAGTCTGGTCTTTTTTTGTGAGTTAGAATTTTGTTCTACATTTTTCTCCAGCTCTGTCCAGGACCCTCTGTTGTGATCCCTGTCAGAGCAGTCAGCGGTGATAGCCAGGCCACCATCTAGTTGTACTGGACTCAGTCTGGTGGAGGCTGTGGTAGATGTGAGCCATTAGTCCTTTGGACTAATCTTCCCCTTGTATCTTTAGTTTTCTTCATTTTCCCTTGCTCCCGAAGGGGTGAGACCAGTGGAGTATCTTAAATGGCCGCTCACAGGTTTTAAAACTCCAGACGCTACTCACCAAAGTAGAATGTAGAACATTTTCTTCATAAACTATGTTATGCCAGTTTAGCTAGATGTTCCCTGAGACCATAGCACTCCTTTTGAACATCTCATTGGTTTCTGTTTCTGTTTACTCTTGTTTTTTTTAGTTGTGAAAATAGACACAAGAAAACGTTTGCCATTTCAGCAGTTTCTACATGTATAATTCAGTGACATTGTCTACTCTTAAACTTGATAGCACTTTTAATTTTCCATTAAATTCTTCTTTTCTATTTTGTGAATCCTGTGGTCAATAATGAGATTATAAAGCTAGAGTTTTTGTTCTGGTTATTGTTGGTTATCAGGCAAAAATGGAACTAAGTGTGTATACCCGTGAAGCCTACTGCCTCATTTTCTCATTAATGTTGGATGCTACCATTTTCATTGAATAGGCTGCGCGCATGTTTTCTGGGGCCAAAACTGGGTTGGTGTTAACTGATATACAGCGAGAGCAGCAGGAGCTCAAGAAACGGGACCAAGAAGCCATGGAGTTTAAAGGTAAAAATGTGAACGTGCAGAGACCAATGTAGGCTCATGTAGCTTTTATTTATTTTATTTCATTTCATTTCAATTGAATTTATTTATTTATTAATGTAGCTTAGTGTGCCTGATACTTTAATTGCTGTCAAATTTTAGCTCTGGTTTTATGCATTATTTTAACTTCTCAGTGGATCTAAGTGGCTTTTTTCCTTCTTGAAAAGTGTCAGTTCTCAGGACCACTGCTAGTATGCACGTATATTGGTAGGAACTGCTTGTGTTCTGGCTGCAGATTTTCTTAGCCAGCATCAGAATCCCAAGTGGTTGATTTCACCTATTAGCAATATTATTTCTGATTTTGATACTGGTATTTATCTTAAAAAGTGTGATTTTCCTTTGCAGCTGAATTCCAGTATGCTGAAACTGTATTTCGAGATAAGTCTGGCCGTAAGAGGAACTTGAAATTGGAACGTTTAGAGCAAAGGAGAAAAGCAGAGAAGGACACGGAGAGAGATGAGCTGTATGCCCAGTGGGGAAAAGGGTAAGAGAACCACTGAGAGGGAAAGGAGGATGATAGTGACTGCAGCCAGGCATTTCTCCACTCTCTGACCAGCTATCTCATTGTTCTTCCTTCAAAGCTGATATCAGGAGTAGGAATTCAGTGTGCTGAATCTCCTTCCTAAAATACTGATATGTTCCACTCCTGTGGTTGTTAGTCTGGGAATTCTACCCTTTTCAGTATTTTGGCGTAGGCTGCTAGAAACAAAAGATTTTCCAAATGTAGCAGCATGGCCCATCTCAGTGAAAAGAAGTGAAAATGTTGGACAGGATATTATACATTTTTGGTTATTTTTGCCCAGGCTTGCCCAGAGCCGCCAACAGCAACAAAATGTGGAGGATACAATGAAGGAGATGCAAAAGCCTCTGGCCCGCTATATTGATGATGAAGACCTGGATCGGATGCTGAGAGAACAAGAAAGAGAGGGGGACCCCATGGCCAACTTCATCAAAAAGAATAAGGCCAAGGAGAACAAGAATAAGAAAGGTGGGACTTCTGGGAACCATCAGAGATGGAGATGATTTATGTGAAGAGAGAGAATTATTAGGGTGATGATACATAGCTGTGTGCAAAGAAGGTTTTCCCATACATTTTACATTCCTTGTATTTGGGAGTTTAGGTCAATTGAATAGAGATTTCTGTATAGAATTTTTTCCCCCACTGCCATCCAGCTCTGAATTGGATTATATAGGTAACCAACTTCTTTTTCCTCTCTCCTCTCTGTAGTGAGACCTCGCTACAGTGGTCCAGCACCTCCTCCCAACAGGTTCAATATCTGGCCTGGATATCGCTGGGATGGAGTGGACAGGTAAGCCTGAGTATTTTCTGCAGTTTTGCTTTCTCTTCTACCTGACCTGACCTTTCTTAATTGTTCTTAAATCACCCTACCTCATCCTCTGCCCTATCACAAGGTTAATAATAATGCAGTTTGCTTGTTTCTATTCCTGGGTCCACAAATCCTCTTCCCTGCTTGAAGTATTCCCCCTCCTTCTATTTCTCTTTCAAAATATTTTTAAAGCTTTGGACAGACAACTCAGGTGGTCCAGACAGGGCACTCTTTGTTTTTGACCTTGGTCATTTCTAATGATACTTTCTAAGGTTTAGAGGAGATGGGTAACTTTTGGGAGCCTTCTACATGTTGTATCTTTAAAATGTAGCCCTTGAGCCTTAATTTTCTTCACTGCTTTAGCAGTGAGTTCCTTATAACGTCTCGTAGACTCCTACCAGTGTTTCATAGACTCCTACCACCTCATCTATTCACCTACCAGCATCTGTACTCACATACTCTTAATTTCCTCTCTGTTATCATGGATGAACTATATGTACATCTATCCAAAGTCAATCCTTCTACTTACATGTTAGGTCCCATCTCCTCTTGCCTATTAAAGACATTGTTCTAGCATCTAGCACAGCAATTCTCTTTTGTCTCAGGACCTCTTTACGCTTTTAAAAATTATTTAGGACTCCAAAAAGCTTTTGTAAAGTTTATGAATTCACTTAAAAATAAGGCCATTGAATGTTAACATAGTTATATTTTTTATGAAAAATAACTATTTTCCAAACAAACAAACAAAAAATAGAATGGCATTGATTTACATTTTTGCAAATCTCATTAACATCTGGGTTAATAGAAAACAGCTGGATTCTGCATTTCGTCTGTTACAATACGTTCTTTGGTTGAAGTATAGCAGGAAAATCCAGCCTCATACACACAGTTAGTTATATTCTTTGATATCATACAAATATATTCTTTGATATTATACAAAAATTCAGCAAGTGGTAGTTTCTGAAGGTTAGTTATAGGTAGAATCTGCAACCATATCAAAGAACTTTTCATACTGTTACATTAAAATCCATTGATCTGTTTTGTACTTTGAATGTGTCTTTTACCAATGCATGATTTATAATATCATGCATTGGTCATTTGGAAAATATTGGTTCACTGAGTTTCTCAGACCTTCCAAATATTGACGTATTTCATTATGTTGTTGTTGTTAGATGCCAGCAGATTGGTTCTGACTCGTAGCAACCCCATGTACAACAGAACGAAACACTGCCTGGTTCTGCACCATCTTCACAATCGTTGCTGTGTTTGAGCCCATTGTTGCAGCCACTGTGTCAATCCATCTTATTGATAGTCTTCCTCTTTTTCGCTCCTGTACTTTACCAAGCATGACGTCTTCAGGGACTGGTCCCTCCTGATAACATGTCTAAAGTATGTGAGACGAAGTCTTGCCATCCTTCCTTGTAAGGAGCTTTCTAGCTGTACTTCTTCCAAGACAGATTTGTTTGCTCTTCTGGCAGAATGTGGTATATCCAATATTCTTCACTAGCACCATAGTTCAAAGGCGTCAATTCTTCTTCAGTCTTCCTTATTCATTGTTCAGCTTTCACATACATATGAGGTGATTGAAAATACCATGGCTTGGGTCAGATGCACCTTAGTCCTCAAAGTGACATCTTTGCTTTTTAATACTTTAAAGAGGTCTTTTGCAGCAGATTTGGCCAATGCAATACATGGTTTGATTTCTTGACTGCTGCTTCCATGGGCGTTGATTGAGGATCTAAGTAAAATGAAATCCTTGATAACTTCAGTATTTTCTCTGTTTATCATGAAGTTACTTATTGGTCCATTGTGAGAATCTTTGTTTTCTTTATGTTGAGGTGTGATCCATACTGAAGGCTGTAGTCTGATCTTCATCAGTAAGTCCTTCAAGTCCTCTTCACTTTCAGCAAGCAAGGTTGTGTTGTCTGCATATTGCAGGTTGTTGGTGAGTTTTCCTGGAATCCTAATGCTGCGTTCTTCTTCTTATAGCCCAGCTTCTCTGATTATTTGCTCAGCATACAGATTGAATAAATGTGGTGAAAGAATACAACCCTGACACACACCTTTCCTCATTTTAAACCATGCAGTATCCTCTTGTTCTGTTCGATCGACTGCCTCTTGGGCTCTGTACAGGCTCCACATGAGCACAATTAAGTGTTCTGGAATTCCTACTCTTCACAATGTTCTCCATAATTTGTTATGATCCACACAGTCGAAAGCATAGTCAGTACAATATCAAATACAATATCAAAAAGTCATCTTTGTTAATATCACCTCTGATCTCATCACAAAAGTCTTTAAGTACTGGGGAGCTAAAGAGTTCATGGTGGCAGATACAAGTTTTCCAAAATTCTGATTTATTCTTGAAAACTTTAATTCTATCCACTGGTAACAAACACTATTCATTGTTTTCCTTGAAGTGAACCTCACTTTGTACAATAGCTTTTTTGTAGATTCCATCGGATTTTCTACCTAGTTGATCATGTCATCTGTGAATAAAGACAATTTGACTTCTTCCTCTCCAGTCGGATGCCTTTTGTTTCTTTTTCTTGCCTTTTGTACTAGTTGGAACTTCCAGTGTATATGTTGAATAGAAGTAGTGAGAGCAGATACTTGCCTTGTTCCTAACCTTAGGAGGAAAACAATCAGTCTTTTATCTTTAAGTATGTTGTCAGCTATAACTTTTTGTAGATACTCTTTATCAAGTTGAGAAAGTACCCTTCTATTCCTAGTTTGCTGAGAGCTTTTCAGGAATGGATGTTGGATTTTGTTCAAAATATTTTCTAATTTCCCTTTTGGTGTATTCTTTGATCCACAGGCTATTTAAGAGTACATTGTTTAATTCCAAATATTTGGGCTTTTCTAGATATCTTACTGCTGTTGATTTCTAATTTAATTCTATTGTGGTCAGAGAATATACTCCATACTATTTGTATCTTTTGAAGTTTATTATGACATGTTTTATGGCCCGGTATGTGGTTTACTTCAGTGAATATTCCATATGCACTTGATGAGAATGTGTATTCTGCAGTTGGTTGCGTATAGTGTTCTATAAATGTCAGGTAGGTCAAGGTGGGTTAATAGTGTCATTCAGATCACCTATATCATGATTTTTTTTTCTTGGCTTTCTTCTATCGATTACTGAGAAGGAGGTGTTAAAATCTGTAACTATGTTTAAGGATTTATCTTTTTCCTTTTACTTCTGTTAGTTTTTGCTTCATATATTTTGAAGCTCTGTTATTAGGTGCATACACATTAAAATTATTATGTCTCGGTATTGTATTAACCATTTTATCATTATGAAATGAACATTTTCTCTAGGAAGACTCCTTATCTTGCAGTCTATTTTATCTGACATTCATATAGCCACTACATCTTTCTTATGCTTAGTTTGTATGAGACAGTTTTCTATTCTTTTACTTTCATTCCGTTTATATCTTTGATTTAACATGCTTTTCTTGCAGACTCACTTAAAATGCATCACTGTAGATGGCATATGGTTGTACGTTGCTTTTTTTACAATCCAATTTAACAATCTCTGCTATTTAGTTTATTTACATTTAATATGATTAGTGATATGATTGGATTTAGGTCTACCATTTGGCTGTTTTCTACTTGTCTGTTTTTTGTTCTTCTGTTCCTCTTAGCCTATCTTCTTGGGTTAATTGAAAACATTTTTTTTTTAAATTCTGTTTTTTAAATAAACTTTTGTTTTGGAATAATTTTAGATTTACACAAAATTGCAAAGATAATACAAAGAGTTTTTGTACACTCCTCACCCAGTTTCAGTTCCTCCTAATGTTGTCATCTTACATTACCGTGGTGCATTGGTCAAAGTTAAGAAACCAACATTGGTACATTATTAATGTTCCAAACTTTATTTGGATTTCACTAGTCCATTACAGTCAGTCCCTGGGTTACGAATGTCTGCCTTGGCCTTAGGTACAACCCGTAGTTATGAACCAACCCCTGTAAAGCCTATTGTATTAAAAATTCGAGGTACATGCAAAATGGTTCATGATAACAATCGGGTACTACTTTGCGACGCACATCAAAACATTATTATTATTACTGTATTATTATGTACAAGATGTTTTAGTGTATCTGGAAGTGTTTCTTTAATGTTTTTTATGCATAGAAAGATGCACTATATACTATATACTAAAACAAACATTTAACTAACTAATATTAGATACGAAGCATGCCTAACTGTTCCAATTTACGTACAGATTTAACTTAAAGACAGACTTAAGAACAAAACTCGTTTATAATCTGGGAACTGCCTGTAACATCCTTTTTCTATTTCATGGTCCAATCTAGGATACCACATTGCATTTAGTTGTCATGTCTTCTTAGTTTCCTCTGATCTATGACAATTTCTCAATCTTTCTTTGTTTTTCATGACCTTTACAGTTTTGAGGAGTATGATCAGGTATTTCATAGCATGGCCCTCAAATTGGGTTTGTCTGATGTTTTTCTTGTGATTAGATTGAGGTTATGGGTTTTTGGAAACATTACTACAGTGGGGAAGTGCCCTTCTCATCATATCATCATAGGGGGTACTTGATATCCACATGATACTAATTTTGGTCACTTGATTAAGGTAGTGTTTGTCAGGTTTCTCACTGTAAAGTTACTATTTTTCCCTTTTCATTCTCTTTTCTTTGGAAGTGAGCCACTGAGTTCAACTTATACTCAGAAGGGACCTACGGGGGAAATCTGCATGTATTATTTGGAATTCTTCCGTAAGGAATGTTTGTCTCTCCTCCCCATTTATTTTTTTTTTATTCAGTCATTTATATCAGTATGGACTCATATCTGTTTATTTTAAACTTTGGATTATAATCCAGTAGTATATTATTTATTTTTTTGAGCATTTTCTTACTTTCTGGTACCACAGGGTGCTCCAGGCTCATCTTATAGTTTCCCTGCCTCAGACTTAGTATCAGCCATTTCTCCAAGGAGCCCTGGTTCTTTTTATT